CCCCCCCATAGCCCCTCCCCCCTCTACTCCTCTTTTCCACTCGTTTTCTCTCATACTCTCTTTCGTTTTCTATCTCACAACCCCCCCCCCCCCCTCAAGCATTCCACTTTCTTTCTCCTCACAAAAATTATTGATTCATTTTGACTGTTACCTAAAATCTAACCCCGTTATTTTGCAGAGTCGTCACAAATAATGGACCCGTCCCATGATATGCATGACGATTTTGATTATTCGTATCATCTTCAAATGGCTCTTTCACAGTTGAATGGTGAACCTGCGTACCCAATGGACGTCGGGGACGTCGTACTCGATGACGTGCATTTTCCGAAACCGGCAGATATGGCAGCTATGGCTGATGCAGAGGACATTGGACCACCACCAAGTACAAACGAAATTATCGAAGATATTTTGGCAAATGTGGACAACTATCCTAAAACACTACAGACTTTGATGCAGAGAGGTCTTCTCAAGAAGAAGCAGCAGTGCAAGAAATGCGAAAAACCGATGCATTTGAGACGGAGAAAGTGTTCTTATGAGGTGAGTGTGATCTTAAAAAAGCATGTCTTATTGATTATTTTTCCAGTGGCGCTGTCGTACAAAAGATAAAAAAGGTGATTGCTCATCGTGTTCCATCAAGTCTGGAAGCTGGTTTGAAAACACGAAGCTATCCTTTAAAATCATATTCAATGTTTTAGTAATGCACTGTAAAAAGTAAGTTTAGTCCCATTGAATGAGATGACCTCTCTTGTTCTATGTCTGCTCTAGGAAAAGAAGAAACAGAGTGCGCAAAAAAATGTGTCACCCAATAGGGAGAATGTTGTTGCATGGACCACGTACCTGCCTTGGTTCTACTGTTGTTGCTAACAAGACAACCTCTACACACTGAAAACCCAGATTTTGATATAAATTTCAGGATAGGTTAAGAATAGCCTCTCCAGACACTACTGAGAATTTTAGAATCCGCTCCCCAGTTTCCGAGTTACATATATGAGTTTCGGATTCAAAAATCCCGCTTTTAGTGCAAAAATCGCGCTTTTAGTGCTTAAAACAAATGATAATTTGAATGGCGGTGAATTGCTTGTTTGAGTAAGAATACTGGATAAAAAACAGGAGATATAAATTGATCCTAAACAGATTAAAGGAGTTCGTTCAAAATTTGTTTTCAAAATTCAGCTATTCCTCTGGACACATGTCATCTATTCTGAAATTATCAACTCATTCAATCAATGAAGCTCGCCGTATGGTTCACGAGTTGACCGACAGAATCGCTAGTAGATATCCAAGAATTGGAGAAAAAACAAAAAATGTCTATCTAGAAATCATCACAATCAAGGGAAAAAACGATGTTTACAAAGTGTTAGCAGGTATAATTTCTTTGCTTTGAAAAAGGGGAAAACCGTATTTTTCAAAATTTCAGGACAGGAGATCGGGACCAATCACTGTTTTGCTGCAGTTCTGAATGATTGTTCAGCTGCTCTCATCGAAAGAATTAAAACCGTAAACGTGGATCCACAGGCCAAAGTTACCATGGTGAAGACGGTCAAGGATGATGATCCAGATTTCGCGTCGTAAGAAAAATTGAATTTTGTTTTGATTCTTGACGATGATTCCTTTCAGAGTCGCAGCTATCTTCTTCGATGAGAAAAACTACTACGCTTATGCTAGAGACCAATTTTTCTGTAATCTTCGTGAAAATCCACTGGAGCACTTTCTGTCAACCAGAGTTACCCTACAAAGCTGGTTGAATGATCAAGTGGTTCGAAAAACAGAAGGAATTAAAATGTTGGAGAAATGTGTGGAAGAGTTGAAGACTTTCACATCTAAAAAATCTCGATGATTTCTGTTTTTTTAATTATTATTTTGAAACAAATTTGTTATTATTTGGTTACGAGTATTTCATGAAAACAAGTAATAAATTACATATTCTTTTCATCCATTCTAGTCTTAAAACAGACCGAAGAAATCGTTTCGAACTGCCAGGATCACTGAAAATTCAACTTTGAATTACTTTTTTGTTTATTAAAATTACCTGCAATGAGAAGCATCGATACTGTGCTCACACCGGAATATTTGTTCAGATCCGAGTAGCACCACTGCAACCAGATTTTTTTGTCGTTACTAGCTAGCTTCAATCCTCACCTGATCAATGGGTTGATCTGGTTGAATAGTCGCTGAAAAGTTTCTCAAAACATCCAAATCACAGTAATCCGAAGAGCATCCTTGAATTCCTTGAGTGATTGTCTTGAATCCACTTCCGTCTTGTTCGTGGTAGATCATTTTGAAGTATGGTTTTTTGTCAGCACTATCAACGTACAATTCAAGAAGTACAGCTGCAGAGTACAATGGATATCCTCCAGATGGTTTCACTGCATATTCTTCAATTAGAAGAGCTGAGAAGAAGGCGTATATTGTTGTGTCGTGCTGAAAATAAAAATTTCAGTTTTCTGAATGATTGTTCACAATTCCAAAGAAAATCATTCCTTACAGCCGAGTAGACATAATTCTTCAAATTATTGATCCATGTGCAATTGGGAGTTGTCATTCCTTGACATGCCAACTTGATATTCATATGCATCACCATATCATTTAAGATTGGTCCTCCTCGAATCTTACGGGTCAAAACTCCAACATCGTGGCCATTCACGACATTTGGCATGTCTAAAATTTGATGAGTCATTGTCACTGATAATAAAGAAACTCTAACTTTTAAAAATTCCGTTTTGATAAAGCTGAACTTGGTCGTTGATGGCATCTGCTTGAGCATACAAATCATCAGTGAACCAGGAATTCTTCGTTCGAATTGAATCATTGAAATAAATTTGCTGAAAAGTGTGTTTCGAGATGATTCATTCTGTGCTGATACCGTGCTCTACCAACCTCAATGTATAACGCATTTGTGATAATCCAAAGGTTATCAATGTCAACTGTTTCTCCCGTGTAATTCGTCAGTTTTGCAAGCATTGATTGAACCTGAAATAGCATAAAAAATTCCAGAGAAAATTTTCGCGATGCCAAGATAAGAACTTATGATGGCGAAAACGGAATTTTGCGAATTGTACACTAAGACTTACCTTATCAGAATTTGTGAAGTTCTTAACCTCATCGGATGTTTTTGCAAGATTCCATACTTGCTCACGGAATGGACATGTGGATTCCATGTTTCCGAGCTGTAATTTTCAGATTTTATTTCACCAGAACTTCTCGTCGACTAGCTGATTCATCTTTTGATAAAAGTATCAAAGTTCATTATACTGCTTATTACGAAACTCTTAAAATGAATCAATCATGCCACCCTCCCAATCTTTAATCGTCTTAAAACGTTGCCTCTTTTTTCCTATTTCTGCCCTAGCTTCGTCATTTAATAGGATTACGGTAGACCTACTCACATGATCAGTGTCATCATCTACAGTATGCACTGCAATCGGCACGAATCCTTTTGGCCATCCTACAACTGCTGGATAGTCGACGTCTGCAACACTGCTTCCGTCGTCTTGCCCGTATTGCCCGAGCAAATTGGACATAGCAGAGATGATGGTTCTGTTGACGTCAGTGGATCGGACATAAATCTTAAATTCGAAAACTTTTGAAATAACTGGAGCTAAATAATTGTTACCTGCTTCGCGTTGTATTTAGTGGGGAAGAATTGGTAATCTGTCACATAGCGGCTTCGGAGCATTTTTCCCAAATTCAAGTGCTGTTTCATTCCGGTCTGAAGGTTTTCAATAGTGAATAATATACATTTTTATGGGATTCTCTGAAATGTTTCATAATTTTGAGCATTTTTTTTTCGAAAATGACCCATCTAGTTTTAGAACACCTTTATAAACCGCTCACCGGACTCAATTGTCCCCATCCACCACCTCCAAATGTCCATGCGCTCTCTTGATATGGATCAGTTGGGAACGTTTTAGTTGGTGAACGATCTCCATGTCTCCAGAGCTGGAATTCATTCATTGAATCATTTTTTCGAATGTTTATTACCGTTTGAACAAAAACCAATTCCTTAGTACCATTTGTATAAGAAGTAGAAAAACCCGTGAGAGCAAAGAGCCCGATAATTGAAATGGCAGAAACCATAGTGAAATTTACCCTGAAAAAAGGGAGTTTTGTGATTTCGAGTTTTCAGAAAATAGAGAGAAGTTCGGAGCAGGGAGGAAATAAAAAAGAAAAGTGCGTAGAGTAATGCAATTTTATCAGTTGACTACCATTCTCTGCCACTTCAATATACTCTTCTTTTTTCGATAGTGTGATCAATGCTGTTTTATCATCAATTTGCTTCTATAATAAGTGTCTAAAACTTTAAGTCAATTTACATGGACAAACGAAGTTTATTCAGTAACTGTTTCAATGGTAATGTACAAAATGAAGGAGCGGTAAAATTAATTAGAGGCAAATAAATAGAAGAGAGCGAGAATCAGAAGAGATGAGAACGGAGAAGCCATGGCAGAAGATCCAAACATGTTATAGTTGCACCACTGAAAGTTTTATCATCACATAATTTTTTAGAACCTTCTGAATTTACCTGATTCATTTCCATTTCTGGTTTATAGACGTCGGAATAGTTCTTGAGAACTGACAGTGGACAATAATCATTTCCATTGCATCCAGGGATTCCAGAAGTAATCACATTATTCAAAGTATCGTTTTCGTGACGATGGTAGATCATCTGAAATTGATAAATAAGATTTCTAAAAACCAAGGAGAGAACCCACCTTGAAATAAGTCTGATTTGTTTGTAAATCTTGCCATTGTTCCATGATAACACATGCCGAATACAGTGGATATCCACGTGGCTGAACAGCTAGATGAGCGACTCCGAGCAAAGAGAAAAGGGCGTATAGTGTAGTGTCATGCTGAAAATAGTTCGATCAGAAACATTTTGATCTTATTGGACTGCGACTGCAGGCTGCAAATATGCGTCTATCAAAGAAAACTCACAGCAGAGTATGCGAAGAATTTCAATCTATTAGTGTATGTACACTCTTTTCCGTTGTTCGAAGCACACTGCGTTTTTCTATTCATATGATTGTAAATATCATTGACCAAGGTCCCTCCACGAATCTTTCGAAGATACTTTCCAATATCGATTCCATTTTTAATCACACCTAAAATCGATTTCAGTTCAGAACTTTCTCAGATTTCACCTTCTAATCCCAATCCATTCTGGAAATCTTGAACTTGCGAATTGACAATATCTATCTGTTCAAACAAACTGTCAGAATACCATGGAGTCGTCTGCTGGAATTTCAATGGATAGTACTGCTTTTCAATTTTCAGAGCGTTAAAAAGGATCCACAGGTTCTCTGGATTGATATCTTCTCCACAGTAATTCGTCAGATTTCCCATCAAAGCTTTAACATCTGAACGATTGAAGTAACTGGAGACGATGTCTGTGGTTTTTGCCATCTCCCAAATTGTATCTTGTAAGGCACAAGCGTTGTCAACGGAGAGGAGCTGCAATTGAAATTCTACGAGTTCGAAAAATGAATTTAAAAAGTCTCACATGATCTTCGGCATCAGGAATAGTGTGAATTGGAATTGGGACAAAGCCTACTGGCCACCCAGGAACGTCCGGATAGTCATATCCTGTAACAGTTTTACAATTTAGGTCGGTTTTAAAAATGGGTAGCCTTCAACTGCTCACCCTTTACTTGTATTTTAATCTCAATTATCTCGGTTCCTTTGAAAAATATCAAAAGTTTGTCAATCGATAAATGTTGCTGATATTATGATGAACATTTTTTTAGTTGACCACTTTTTGGTATCTTTAACAAGAACCGAGATGAATTAGCTCAAACTTGACAATGTAGTGGCCCTTTTATTACAGGTTTTATGGTATTTCTTCAGTACCTGGGAGTGAGACATTCTCGTTATTACTTCCGTACATCCCAACCATATTCGAGTAAGCCGAAAGTAGAGTTCTATTTTTATCAGTAGATCTAACAAAAATTTCTTGTTGATCGTAACGTCGGTTAAGGAATTGATAAGGTTGGCCGTTAACATAACGAGCTCTTAGTTTTTGACCCAATTGCATGTGCTGTCTCATCCCAATCTAAAAAAGAAGTTGGGAAATATCTCAATGTATCAAAGTTTACCGGTGTCAATTGACCCCATCCACCTCCTCCAAACACCCAATCCTGTTCTTTGAACTGATCGTTATGATAGGTTTCAGTTGGTGTCCGATCTCCGTGTCTCCATAACTGGAATTCCATTTTGGGCATGGTTTTAAAAAATGGACTTACAGCCTGCACCATCATCAATTTCATTGTGCCATTCATAACATCTCCACTGGACACTTGAAGTAGTAATAGAGTTGAAACAGAGTAGAATAAAACCTTCATCTTCGTTCAAAACCCAAAAACCCTAAAAATTAAACTGGTCCGAAACTGTTCTATGAAACAAAAGATGAACAAAAAAACCAATAGAAAAGAAACGAAAATCAAACAAAAGTGCGGAATTGAAGAGGCGAGAAAAAGCGGATTGAACCGCTAAAATAGCGTCAAAGTTGACACTTATCAGTTATCAGTTTTCGGTGTTGACTTAATGGATTTCTTTTTGGATGCCATTGGAAGTTAGAACCAAAAACTGCCAACTGTTCAATGAAAACTATGTAAGAGAATTGAGTTATGTTTACACATATTCTTTGTTCGAGGCATTATCCTCAAAGTTCACAGGGGTTTTTTATTTCTATGTTTTTTTTTCTGTTATGTCTGGGACACAGGAGAGACTAGACTACATAAACCGCAAGTAGACTGAAACTTTTTTTTCCTTAAAAAGCTTAATCAAATCGTGACGGGCGGAAATATGTAGCATGTGATTTGGTTATGTGACTTATTAAAGTATATCCCGGCAGTGGGAATTCTCAGAAAGAGCAAAGTTTGATTATCACAAATATTTGAAAAAAAGGCAACCTGATCTTTTGACCAGTTTCAGAGGAAGTAAAGAGGAGAAAGGCGCTTTTCGTGAGATTTTCCATAAAAGCAAGGCAAAGAAAAAAAACACCATTCTTTAAATTTTAGGAACATGTTTGACCTTTTTTTTTGATAACTTTTGATAATCAAAAAATTTGTTCACAGTTCATAGCAATACACTGTTTGTTCGTTTGAAAAGGTGTAAAAGTGCTGGTAACTGACATCAGTGTCAAGCCGAACAACATAAAAGTTAGCAGTTTTCGGAGTTTTTGTTTTGTTCCTTTTCTTACATCTTTTTCCGACTGTTTTCTGTCACACTGAAGCGAATACATTTCAAATATTCAATAAGTTCTAAAATTTATTTAACAACTTCATAAGTACCCGTAAACAAATTATTGTGGAGAAAGATGAGAAGTGAGCAAAATAGGTGAAAGTTGGGACCAAAAAGAAATTATGAAGACACATTAACTGGCAAATTGATTGCATATATACTGTTTTTGTTTTCTTTTTGTTTTCTCCGACGATCGGAAGCTTTTTTCGAAGCATCGGAAAGTCGTTCGATGACAGGAATACATATTGAGAGAAGGATTGGAAGAAGCATCAGAGCATGCCAAGCACCGATCATTAGAACCAGAGAAATGGTTTTGAAGAAAACAAGGACCATGTAGGAATCGATGAAAGCAAGAACAAATACTCCGAGAATTGTGGATAAACTTCCATGAACCACTGAAATTGAAGATTATCAACAAATCTAAAAGTTTTCATTATTACCTGGCCATGCAAGTTTCTCCATAGCATCCACACATCTGTCAAAAGCGGAAAGATTGTTCTCATTGCTAACGAATCCATGGGTGATGTGAGCAGAGAATTCGATGGAGAATCCAATTGACATAATGATGGTAATCATGGAAATAGGATCCAATTTCACACTCCAAAGTGATAAAAATCCAATTACACCTGAAAATAATTTCATGTAAAAAATCACAGACAAATTCAGTCATACCAATATCAATTGTAACCATTGCCAATGTAATGAAAAGTGCGCAGATTGGATTTGGGATGAAAATGAGAGCAACGCAAAACATACAGAACATCGCCAATGTATCATTGGTGATAGTTGAACTCAGAATTACATTCAGCTGGTCAGCGATAGCTCTACTTTGCTGATAGGTGACGATATCTAAATCTGGGTGACGATCGGCAACTCCTCGGAGCTCTGAAAATCACTATAAAATAACAGAAAGTTTAAACATTATACCTTCTGTAATCAACACTAAATCAGTTGGTGTCGACAATCGATGCACTCCAATACGGAATCGATACGATTTTAGCTCCAAAGTATCGTAATCCGCTTCATTCGCCCAGACAAAATCTTGAGACCATAATTTGTAAAACGCAAACAACTGACTCCATTCGTAGACTCCGACGATCCAACTATCTCTATTATCATTCAGATAAGATCCAGTTAGATTACTGTATTTCTTATACTCCCTCATCCAGAACGATGTACCCTTTCCGCCGAGAGCTGCAAAAAATTATTTCCATTTTTTCAATATCTCACAATAAGATCCAATTATCTTACAATAAGAAATATTTTCAAATTCCTGTGCAATCATCTCGATTCTGTCTCGATTCTCGGGAATCGTCAAATTTGGACAATTTTGAATGGCAATTTCAATTTGATCTCCTCCATGGAACAGATCGATTTCTCTTTTTAATGCTTCTACTAATGGATCGGAATGAAGCAGCAATTTATCATAATCAAGACCTTGTTCCATAACACAAATTCCATAAATTGCAGTTCCCAAGTAAACAATGAACACAAGGAACATGAATAGTTTGGTTTTCCAGTTGAGAAGCCAAGGAACGTAGTAATCCCTGAAGAAAATGACTACGAGGAATCTTATGATATATAAAATACCGGAAGAAATGTCCCATAGCACCTCGACTTTTGACAGGAATATGAATCTGTGATGGGTCTGGTGAAGAGTCGTAAGATCTTTTCTCGGCGATCTCACTCTCAGCAATTTCCATGTTCTTCTCTGATGGCTTTTCTTCTTTTGCATCTTTTCGACTCTTCGATTTTTTCTTCAGATTTGGTTGTAACGAACCATCTTCGATTGTGTAGATGTCGTCAGCCTGGTTATTTTTTTATTAAATTGAGTTCTTTTTTTTTAGGTGCTCACCGTCATACAAGGCATACAAGAATTCCTTCCAGACATTTGAGCTTTAGCAGAAATAACCATAAGGGCTGCGAAAAAAGTAATTTGATAGAGGAAAGTGAAAAACATGCATGCAGCTGTCATAGCGCAGAATCCTTGAACAGCAATAATATCAGTGATAGTACCGACTCCAAAAGAGAGAACATCGGTAAATGATGTGATAAAAATGGCTACTGCTGACTCTGACATTGCTTCTACCATTCTCTTTTTCATTACTTTTGGACTTCGACCAGGATATTTCATTTCTGTATTATGCCACGCAGCTACTGCGATAAACATGTCATCTACTCCAATAGCTGAAAATTTGAAAGTGTGATAAAAAGATTTTGAAAACAACTTACAAAGAACCAGAAATGGAGCAATAAGTGTAATCTCAGCGAAGAACATGCCAAACCACAAGAGCAAACCGATACCACTGAAAATAAGTACAGCATATCCTAATGTAAATTTCGAAAATAAAACTCTTACCTCAAAATAGCGAGAACAGAAGATAAAACACCTCCCAATGCGAGCATTGGCTTGGAACGAAGCCAATCGATATGAAGTGGCCAACAATGATCAGTTCGGAAGTACCATTTGACAGAATAGAAAGCAGTGAATAAAACGAGAACAGCAATAGTCACATTGAAATATGGCTTTAGTCGATTCGCGTTTCGAGTCAATCCCTGATCAACAATTCTTGAGTGTTTTATATGACATTGGATTGTTGGATGATCCTCGTATGTCTCTCGAACGAACTTCTCAGCTGTATCCTCCCAATATTTTGCGAGCTGTTCTTGTTCTTCATCGTCGAATTTCAAGAAATACCAGAGACGCATTGCTCTGGCATATTTTATAGTATCATTTGGATAGGTATCAACACCTCCAATCACAAAAGCGATGTAAATTGGGGTTCCTTCTTGGTTCACTTGGGGAAATGTAACTGATATTCCTCTGGAATTTTAGTTTTAAATAAGTTTGAATAAAGTTTAAAAGTAACCTCTTATTGAGTTCGTGTCTTCTTTTCAGCAATTCAATTACATTTTTCTCTCTATAACAATCCCCATACCAATTCATACACACATCCTGAAGCAACCGTTTTCAAATCCGAAAATCAAAAATTGTAACTTACTTTGAATGTGATTGTTGTATTCTGATTAACTTCTATTTCAGTTGAATTCAAATGTCGCTTCCTCATCAATGCAGGGTTATCTTCTAGAGCTTCTTCTCTATAAAAACTAACGTTCGTAGCAACTTCTTCTTCAATTTTGGCTATGTCATCTAGGTAAGATCCTTCCAGAAGATTTGGATAACTCCCATTCTCAAAAGGTCTTCCGTGTACAACTAGATAAAGATATCTGTTCCATTGAAATGTTCTTTCAGGTAAAAACTCGTATGATTTTACAGGCCAGAGCTGAAAATGGAATTTTTTATTCCTGAACCGATATCAGCACTTTTCATACCTCACTAAATACTTCTTCCTCTCTCCAAGATGGCGCTGAAACCGGTGTATACAACTTCCGTGCATCGAGAAGTGTTAATTCTTTAATCCAATAAAATCCACCACTACATATGGCTGTCAAAATGATAGGTGCAATTAGAAAGACCTGGAATTTTTAAAATTTAAAATTCCATTCACAAATAAAAGAGTGCTAGAACTCACATAATAATAATCAACTAGAAGATGCCTAGTATACCATGCGAAGAACTTTTCTAACTTTTTGTCAAGAGTTGGAAACCTGCATCGCATCTGCAATTCGGATGTTGAAAGATATTCAGATGGCGAGAAGAAAAAAAAGAAGTTGGAAACAAGATTGTAAGGTAAGAAACCGGTTTTGGTCGGCGATTTGTGGTGTTGCCAGAAGAGATAAATATTCACCTGATGAAACTATGTATACGTCACAGAATGGTCAGAAAATCGTAGAAGAAAACAGAGAAGAAGAAAGTATCTCTGATCTGATTGAACTGAACTCTAGATCAAGTTTCATGAATCAATGAGTCAATGATAGCAAAGTCAGAACTGTTCAAGTTCAAAATAGGAATAGAATATGGTTTGATAATGATAGAAACTACAGACAGATATTGTAGGAATTGTAGTGGAAAGTCGTAGTCGACACCATCAGATGATTTCAAAAAGGTGTCAGAAGATATAATCATTCACCGAGTTGTTGATAAAATTGGTGATTTGATCTGAAAAATTCAGTCAATCTACAGGGGCCATTAATTATTGACACAGATTCAAGCCTTCATAACTTTCCTAAAACTGGATGAAAATTTTCCAAAGTTTGGAATTAATCAATTCAGACGCACAAAATTTTTAATAATCCAAAATTTTCAAATCCACTGCCTGCCTCTCTGATAAAAACCTTCAGAAGAAAAATATGTGGTTCTCTATAATTGAATCGTTGGTGGCGGAAACATGGCATGGAAAATGAGCCATCATTATCTTCTGACGTAAAGGTATGTCTTGAAATTTGGCAGGGACATCAAAACTGAATAGATGCATAGGAAAATTATAAAATAAGACAAATTGGAACGTCTGTTGTGTACGATATCTAGCTCACACGTTTGGGATAAAAAACTAATGACTACCCTTTATTAGACGAGAGAATCGTAAAAACGGGTTTTATTCAATACATGGGAAATGAGAGCAAAATTATCAACTACGCGTACAAGGTTAAATACAGAACTTCCGTAAAACCTGTGTTAGGAGGGCCCCTGCAATAGAAAGGCCGACCCTTCCAATACATGTTTTGCAGTACTGCAGTATATAATATTCGACAGTAGAACTCACAAGATTGAGAGAATTGTTTTTAGTTTGATCAAGGAGAATAGTCAACATTTGACAAGGCCAAAGCATATTCTCACCATATAATTCTTCAGAACCAATTTCAAGAATAATCTAGAAATTTAAAACAGTGTATTATTTCTATTTCAGAAATCAAAATCTACAATACGTTCAAATAATCGTGTCTAGACGGGCAAACCATGAAGTACAAGAAGTACTCACTTATACACACACTCCGAAGACAATTAATCCCGCTTTTCTTGTTTCAAGAATATAAAAAAAGGAGGACAGCAAAGCTAATCGTTTCACTAGGTGGTACCGTCAAGAAGAAAAAAAAATAGAAGATGAACAGGAAAATAATTCAGTACGGATTAAAATGGAAAATGGCAAGGACAAATCAACGGGTACAATGGCATATAGGTGCTGGTCTTGAGAGAATAGAAAAAAGGGTCACGCTCTACAGGAGAGTCGATTGGAGGCAGCAAAAAATTGGAAAAAAAGAACAGAGATTAGTAGGTTCCAAGAACGATTGCAGATTTATTTCCCGAGACAAGAGGATTATCAAAACGAGGTCATTTTATGGATTGGACTCCCGGATTCACCTCTGGGAACTCATAAAAAAGGATTTTGCAGAGAAAGAATATTACGTAAGGGTGGTCTGCATATCATGGTCTGCAAAAATTCACCGTGTCGTCTAGGATAGAAAAATGTGTGATGATGAGCGATGCGGCAGCAGAAAAGCCCGTCTAAAAGGAGAAGATGAAGCCACAGGAAAAGGTTGTTGTCCTTGTTCTTACCCTCTCCGACAGGTTCTCTTTTCATTTCGTCATCGTTATCGTTAATCAACGGATTGAAACAAAAAACGAGAAGAGAGACATGTACTCATTTAGCAACACGGGGTACTAATTATAGATTTAGTTTGGTTCGGTTTTACTTTTCGAGTAGAAGAAAGCGGAATGTGTCTAGAAGGGTGGTATGTCAAATACTGTACTAGAAGATTGTATAGAAGATTTCTAGCTGAGGAAAATTCAAATTGAAAACTTGCTCAAAACGATGGATTAAAAGAAATGGAAATGGTGTTGGTTACCGTATTTCCTCTATTAGAAGCTTATCCAACCCGTCAACTTAAAGCTCAATTATCTTGATTTCTGTAAAAGATATTAAAAACTTGTCTACTGAACAATTAATTATCATATTTTTATCAGTTGACAAGTTTTTGATACCTTTCACAAAAATTGAGATTATTGAGCTCAAAGTTAACGGTTTGAATTAGTTTCCATGAGAAGAAGCACGGTAAATATTGAACCTAAAATATGAAATAACGAAAAAGGGTAATATTCCAAAGACAACCTGTAAAGGTGAGGAGCGGAACGACTAACCAGTAACAAACTAGACTAAATCGCGCTGAAATCGCACCAGCTTGCTGGTATAAAATGAAAAATTGTTCATAAGAAATCCAAGTTTGAGATGTGGATCTCTGCTGCTGAGCAGCAAATGAACTATCAAAAATAATCGAATCCTTGGTTAAAAAATAATATAATAATGCACATCAAAACTTGCTACATACAGCAGTCAACTAAAAACCGCCCTAAAATTTTGATAGAAAAATAAGAATCCTGTAACGAATCCCGAATTACCTAAAGTGCAGCCCCATAATTATCAATCTTCAGATAAGTTTTCGAATATAAATTGAAACCATAAAAATGAATACTGGAACTATGATATGAAAACGGGATAAAAGTGAACCAAACGAGGGGAATAAATCTTCGAATGCGTTGTTTTCTGGTTCTTCTTCTTCTTCTTCTTCTTCTTCTTCTTTTTTCCTCCCTCTTATCCTTTCTTTTTCTCATTTTTCGCTTCTTTTTGGGAGTGATATACAATGCCAGGAGAAGAAAAAGACCACACGCTGTGTTTGTCCCATTCACTTCTGTTCTTACCTGTTTTCAAAGGATTTATTCCTATTTTTGTTGCAAGGTTTTCAAAGTCAACTTAAAAATTCAACTTTCAAAGTTTTCTCTTGACCTCAGTTTTTGATTTTTCGTTCCATTTGAGAGACGACAAATGGCAAAGAATACATAGTGAGAAGAGAATCACGTTTTCAGGGAAACTTGAAGAGGATTCTATGAAAAATTCGCTAAATTTGGAATTTCGTTTCTGAAGTTAGCGTCGTTTGAACTTATATGTATATATCTTAAGCTTCTAACATGAGTCAGCCGATTTCAGAGAAGAACTATTTGTTTTGTAAAACCTGTATCAGAAGGGTCCCTCTAATATAAGGGTCCCTCCTTCTAATACAGGTTTTACGGTATATTACTTACCGGAGACATCACAAAATGTCTGAACTAAAAAAGAAAACTGAAGGCTGCAACTGAGAAAATCAGAGTACAGTGTCAGTTTTCACTTTCTCTATATTTCGAACTTCGCTAAATGTCGAAAGAAGGTTCAATTAAAAATGAAGTTTTTGAAAACCAAGTACTTGTAAGTCGAAATCTGTAGGAATAGTTCTAGAACGTTTTCTGACCAAAAACGAAAATATTTCAGGAGAGTTTCAAGAGGTATAATGAAGGTAAGTCTCAAAAAGTTTCCTAGAGGTAATTGAAATATGATTCAGTGAAACCAAACTACAGTAGCCTTCTCGAAAATTGAAGTTTGAAAATTCTAACTTGTTCTATTACTCCGGTCTAATTTCGATGCACCAAAAAATTGAGGTGGGCGGAGTTTAGGTCCAGTAGTTTAGGTCCGGAAGGGAGCGTTTTTTCGTAACTATTTTTTTGGTCTATTTTTCCAATTTATTAAAGAATTTTATGAATTTTGATCTATTTATTGTCAGAAACCTGACAAATCGCAAAAGTTTGCATTAAAATAATGAAAATTACTGAAAAATCTATAAATTCGTCGAAAATTGGAAAAATAGGCCAGAAAATTATTAAAAATACATGCTCCTTTAAATGCGCCTTTAAGGGCTGCTGGACCTAAGCTCCGCAGATCGTCGAATTTTTGACCGGGTAATTTAACTATGGTTCAGTATAACCACACTACTGTAACCATTCATTTTTGAGATGTGAACATAATAGTTAGTTCTAAACTGTAAGTCAAACTTTCTGTCTCTTCCTGAATCAGTTAATTATCTACGTCTCTCCCAGAAGTCACAATACGGTTCCGCCAAAGATCATATAAAATAAAAAAGGTTCTCCTAAAAATACAGTCTTGTCCAACGAGTTAGTACAACTTCTTCCGAAAGAGAACAAAAAAAAACAAAACGTTGTTGTGGTGAAAAGTCAAAACGGTTAAAGTGATGACTGGGGAAAAGGGGGAAATGTCCCTGGGAGTAATTTTGTGGAAAGTGAGGGAAAAAGGGTGAAAAACTGGTTTTCACTCTTTTTGTGTTCCTATGGAAAGACTCTTTTTTTGTTGCAAAACACTTGATTCATGAACATTTATTAGCTCAATTCAAACTTGGTTTACTATCAAAAATGAATTTTCATTTAATACAAATAAATTCCCGTTTTTGTGGTAATACACATGCAACATATTGGTCTTATAATGAAGGAAATACACATTTAGATCGTTTCCCAACTGTTTTTGGTATTATCTGAATTACACGTAGAGGAAGGGAAAATGTATCATTTGAACGAGATTCCTGAGTTTCTGAGTTGGTTATCCTGACGATATTCTTGTATATCTGGTTTTCATGGAAGCTTCCTTTTTTATAATCGTGGTGTCTGTGTTGTATATAATTTTTGTGCTGCTTCCATGCCGGTTGAACCTTCGTTTGTTGCTGAAAATGAAGTAATTTAGAATTATATTCTCTGATGACGTCAAAGAAGTAGGTTGTGTTTCACAGGCAATCATTCAAACATGCATTGCCGTATTTACTCTAATACAAGTCCACCAAAACAGTCAACTTTAAGCTCAATTATCTCGATTTCTGCGAAAGATATCAAACTTTTGTCAATCGATAAAATATTGGTGACGTTATCTTCCTTATAAATAATACGCTAGAGACGTCTGTCCTTCCCGGTGTCAGTCTGTAAACTTTTGAAAATCTTGAAAAATTAATATACATTTACGTGACCCTTCAAAAATAATTGAGGAGCTGAGCCACGAATCAGTAAAAAACTAGATTGATCCGCGCCGAAGGCGCACCAGCTTGCTGGTGATAAATAATTTATCTGTTGACCACTTTTTGATATTTTTCACAAAACTCGAGAAATAGTTAAGCTCAAAGTTGACGGCTCAGGTGGGCTTCTATTAGAGAAAATACGGTAATTCCTAAACAGTCAGAACTTCATAAATATTGAAAGCGGGTTTGATAATATGCTTTATACAGTATAACGCCAGTAGAAGCGGTAATTACTATAGTTCTTATAAGCATTCTTGACATTCCGTGGGAAGGAAATGCGCTCCGATATACTCAGCCACCAAGCTCAGCGAATTTTATTCCAAGATATCAAAACTCGTGTTTACTATTGATACCTTTCACTAATATTCAAAACTCCGTCTGGAAGACTATTGTGTCGATATTGCTCCGGTCTGAATAGAACGAAAATAATGAAAACTGCATTTTCCGGTTGATTGAAAAATACAAGGGAGAAGGGAAGGCAACAAAAAAAGTGAAAGTGTGAACTTTTTTGGAATTCTGCAAAGTAAAAAAAGGAAGAACTCACTTCCAAATTCCTTTGATGATTTGTCGGAACTTCTCCGAAAATATGTAGTAGATGAAGAATGTAGAAGCAGTGTGAATGATAATCAAGTAATTGAAGATTTCTCCGAGCATTTCTAGATAAATGTTCTGTAAAAATGCAGTTTTGGAAAAAAAAATTAAAACAGAAATACTTACATGAATGGTTAAAAATCCGCCTGCAAAACTTTCTGCAAGCTTTAAGGCCATCGAAAAGAAATGACAAAATCCGAAGAAAATTGTGATAACCAACAACATCACAGTTGTATTTTGCTCCTTTTGTTGTTGAATTGTCATCAGACTTCGTTCTTTTTTTGTTCTTCTCAATTCACTGATAATCAGCATGTTTGCCACGAACATGATAACGAATGGGACAGTGTAGTCGAATATGATGGATATGACAATGAAGTAGAACATGAAGTACCACCAATGTTTGTCAGAATCCAATAGTTCTCGTTTGAAATAAACCAATCCATCGATGTATTCTATTTCAAATTCGAAAAAACGGGCAAAGTTTAGGACCACTGCGAAGATGATGATCGCAGCTATGGAGTAAGATGATGTTGTGTATCGACACCAGATTTGAACCTAGAAATTATGAAAAATGAGTTTGACACAGTTAGTTGATAGTGATGGATCAAATTGCATTCCCTATTTTTAAGAATTTCAGTTTCAAATTCTTCGGTTGTTATTATTTGCGCAGGATATTGTTTTGTTCTCTAATTTTCAGACACCTATTTTGTTCAGTTTCAGAGATTGAACCATCTCAGATTTCTAACATCAACTTAAAAATAGAAAAAGGAGTACCTCGAGCGGTCTACAAACTGCAATCCACCGTTCGATTGTGATCAGCACCATTATATATAGGCTGCATGTTTTCGCCATCATGCACAACGGATACACGTATTTGGCTGTGTAGGCGACCACAAAACTTTTCTGCTCATCAGTCCTGAAAAATGGCTCAAATTAATTAGAATCTTGTTTTATAAAAAATCTTCATGTCTTCTGAACTCATCCACCTAATCTTCTTGTATATCATCACTAAACACATCATAATCCACCCACTTCCTCTGAAAAAACTCCTTCCACTTTTAGCTTTCTATCCTATCCGAGACATTCCCCTCAACGTGCTTTTGCTCATTTTGTGTGCAAATGAGATGCGTTTGAACGTAAAAAGCACTTTCGAATTTCCAGAAAAAATTTCTTACCAAATGGGTAAATACATGATACTGAAAAGGGGAAGAGCGAAGACCAGAAGAAATATATCTGATATTGATAAGGAATACAGCAAGAAACCAACCTAAAACTCGAAGATTTCATACATTATTAATTTTGTGAAACTTACCATTGATTTTCTATTCGGACGACTGTAAGCATAAAGGGACAGTAGGTTTCCAAGAAGGCCTATCAGAATAGTTGGAAGATAGACGAAAGCCATTATTTTGTGAAAATCCATGGATTCCATCATGATTCTAAAAGTTTCAGGTTTGATAAGGAAGCTAAAATGTAAAAAAGCTCCCACAAAAGAACAAACAATATAGAAAAACAAAAACAAAAACGGTGGGTAGAAAATGGGCGGTTTAAGCGAGCGGATCTTAAAATTATAGGACCTAGACACTAGCCAGGGGGCAATAAATACATAAGAAAACGGACGAAAATGGTCACAAATTTCCACATTTTCGTTTTCCTCTTCGTTTCAATTTTACATACGAACACCATGAAAAATAATTATGTCTTCTCGAAATGAAGCAGAAAGAACGAAATAAATAAAAATGAGGTGTGAAAAAAGAGAAGATGAAATGTGCATCTTCCGGATTCTAATTGAGAAAAATGATGACGGAGACGTTGGAGTAAGAAGGTGGAGGCCACTCATTGGAAGGCGTTAATTTGAATATAGATGAAAGATATGAACATGATCTATATTTAGACTTTTTGATTCAGATCTTTCAAGTATTCAGAGAAAAAGAGGCGAAGTTCGAGAAAAATATCAAAATAGTGTGCTCTTTTTCTGTTTTCCCCCGAAGAAAGACGGACGAATTTGATTCAATTAAATTTTTTCTTTTTCTAGGATTGGTGGATCCAAAACTAGGGGGAAGAAACAAAAAAAAGGACATAGATCAAAAATTAAAAAAAAGCAATACACGCTGTGTCAGGAAGCCTGGTCGAAAAACGCGCCCCAGCGAACCCCAAGATCTCGCTGAACTCGCTGCCGAGTCTCGCTGGCTGAGGATCAATGTTTCAAACGATGAGCGAAAAAAAGCGCGCATTCACTTGGGTTCAAGCCAATGGGTCAGAAATCGCGCCCCAGTAAACGTGAGATTTTAGAAAAAATTCGCTTCTGAATTATGTGGCTGAGGATCAAACTTTTAAACGTTGCACGAAAAAATCACGGGTTGCATTTCGTTGATTAAAACTAATTAGGTCAAATCCACGTCAACTTGGAAATCATTAAATTTCTTCTAGCCTAAAAGTTATTTGGGCGCGTTTTTTGACACGTTGGCTTGAACCCAAGTGCGCATTGCTTTGATCTATTGATAATAAATAGATCAAATCTGCGCCCACTTCAAAATTATAAAATTTCTTCTAGCCTACGAGTTCGCCGGGGCGCGTTTTCCCAGATTATCTTTTTAATACTTTGGAGTGTTTTTCATGTCACTCGCTGATACTGATTCCAATACAGCATACTTGTAACATTCCGGGCCGGCCCGCCAAAGCCCGGGCCGGGCCTGAGGAAAATTTCAAGGCCCGGCCCGGAATGCCCGGTGGCAAAACTTTTGTCATTTTGAACCGAATTTTGAGCTCTCAATACAATTTTCTATATATTTTTTGTGCTTTTTGGATTGTTTGTCTGTTTGATCAAAAAATATTTAAAAAACTCGATTAAAATATTTGATCGAAAAAAATCACTAAAGGGTCCCCTTATGTGTTTTTTGAAATTTTCAAAACTTGTGGAATGACAGGCCCGGCCCGGCCCGTTACAAGTATGCAATACAGAATATTTGCGAAAAATTCGAGATGAATCCTGATGGAAAATTAATCGATTTCTCTTGAGAAATCAATATAAAAGGATCGGTGGAGATGTCGAAAAATTAGAAGACATATCCAGAAACATGATGGATTTTTGGTCCCAATACGAAATTTCATGAGTGTAAAAGGCAACCTAAATCGTTGAACCCCCAGAAAATACTGTGAACTTTTTGCATGTTTTTGATGAAAAGGAAGATTTTTAAAATTCTAAAAAAAGAGAGACGAACAAAGTTGATTCAGCTCAAATTTGCTTTCTCCGGAAATGGTGGATCCAAAATTAAGAAGAATAATCAGAAAAACATTCGGTCAGAAATTAAAACATCCTCCGGAGGGATAATTCGTTTTCATGGAATAAAGTAAAATGAGTTTGGGGAATGGGGATTCTTTGTAGAAAAAAATTCGAGAAATCGACTGGAACAAAGAAAAAATAGATAATATTAGATTTATAAATTCTCGATAATGTTTTCCGAATAAAAAATGTATTTAAATAAATACCCAGAATTTCAGGAAATCAAAAGTCAACTTGTTACGGTTCTCTGCAGATTTCAAGATCAAAAATTTAATTCTATCAACAAAACTCAAAAAACCAAAACACTATGATTCTGAGGGCGTCATCTTCATCATTCTTCTTCTCAAAACACTTTCTTTTTGTTATATGACCGTGTGGGCGCTTCAATTTTGGCTCCGCGACCCCAAAAACTCTTTTTTCTTTTTCTTCTCTGAACCAAGAACAAGATGGCACCGGAAATGTGTAAAATTGTCAGAGAGCACGCAACCTTTAATTGAAAAGTTGTGTGCTTTTGTGTGCAAGAAGAGTTAAGAATTTCTTTTTGTGGAGAAGAGATGGAATCGGCTGGAACCAGAACGAAAAAAAAAACAGAATAGTAAAAGTACTGAGTTAGAAGGATAGAGCCACGTTCAATTTCAGAAAACCAAAATGCAGGAGACCGTAAAAAACTGAGAGATCGAGCACGAAATGGAAATTTTGCACAAATCGAACTTATTGGACTTTTCGAAAAACGTACTTCAGAGAAAAAAAGGGAAGAAGAAAAGGAAGATTACCAATGAGAGAATATTTGATAAATGCTCGGATTACGAGACTCAAGACATCATCTTCTTTTTAGTTTTCAACCAATCAATGTTCAGGGGACCTAAAAAAAGCAGACAAAGGGGATTTAAAAACGTTTAAGAGTCTCAAAAAATGAAGGTTAGTCAAAGCGAACGGATCAATTTAGGATATGTATCGGTTGGGGGACCACAAAATGGAAATATCGGCGGAGACAAAAATTAGCGGTCGAAGGAGTGATAACCGAAAGATTTCAAACGGTCTTCACGAACTCCACTCTTTTTCGTTCACTTGAAGTCCGCTTAAATTCGCCGTAGAAAATTTTAATCCGTCGTAGGCTGTCCAGGAATTTCTTCAGAAAAAGTTTATTTTCACACGTCAGATCTTCCGATTCTCAATCAGGACCAATAAAACAAAACTGAACACGGACCAACACAAAAAAGTCAAACGGGGAAAAATTGTGACTGATTTGAAAATGCTGGAAATCCTTATAGGCTCTCCTGGAAAAAATACCGTATTTCCTCTAATAGAGGCCCATGGGCTTCCATTTTTCCACCTCGTTTCCTTGGTGGACGCCTATTAGAGAAAGGGCTTCAATGAGAGGGTTTCCGGTTCTTAACTGAGCAGGAATATTCAAAAAAGGTCAAGAATTAACGGAATTTGCCATAAAATCAGCAAAATAATTCGTCTGTAATAACCCAGAACCCGAACTGCACAGCCAGGAGGTGGGCTTCTATTAGAGGTGGGCTTCAAATAGAGGTGGGCTTCTAAGAAAAAACGGTATATTGCAATTATAGTTTTCTCACAGATCATGACTTTTTCAGAGCGTTAATTCAAGTGTCCTATTTTTCTGTTTTTTTTTCTTCGGAACTTCATGGGAGCCCTAAACTGGAACCAGAGAATATAATAACTTATAGGAGGGACGGAAAACAAAATGTGGAGAGAACGGACTCTTGAAGAGCAAAGATCATAGAAAATGTACTTCAGCGAACGAAGGTTCAGAGCGAAACGATTCGAGAAAATCTATTAGTTTGGAGCCTTTTGTAGGAAGAAAAATAAATAAAAATTCGGTCCTTGTCCGTAATACATGTCATAGTAAAAGATATTTTAACTTTCAGCTTATAAATATCAGTTAACTGATAAATTGTTTACAATAATATCATAAATGTTTTGCAAGTTGACAAATGTTTGATATCTTGCATATGAGCCAAGTTGAATTAGCTCAAACTTGACAGTGTCAGTGCCCTTCTGTTACAGGTCTTACGGCAATTAGTTGGAAACTTGCCTTTTAGCAAAAAATGAGTAGTAATAAAACAAAAACAGATGCTCTCAAATGTTCACCCCACATCACTGAAGAATGTTTTTTACTGGAACATTCCCGACACCAAATGATCTTTGAATTGGTAACAGACCCCAAGAAGATGAGGGGAAAGGAAAACGGAAATGAAAATATTGTGTAGTAAGATGACCAGGAAAACACAACACTGTGTGTTAGTAAATTAGTAGCATCGGCATGTCAGCTACTCGAGTCTGGATCCAGATTTTCAGAATTTTAAATCATCTGAGATGTCTGTATTAAATTATATTTTTGCCTCTTCATAAAAGGAATATGTTACAGGTGATTACCAGAGAATTCGTAGAAATAAAACAAGGTCGTGGTCGCTTATTTCTAGAGAACTTTACTCAGGATCTTTTTATTATTATTAGGATATCTGAAAAATTTCAAATATCGACTTGGATAGCAAAATCCTGCTCACAAGTAACGTCTGGATATTTTTAGACGCTTTGTGCTTTGTTTTCCATTTTCAGCCTACTCGAAAAAGTGTGAAAAAGCAACAAAGATTCACGTCACACTAATAAATAGCTCCTCTTTTTTGGAGAATGCTTAATTGATCATTGGCGACTGAATGGAAGATGGGATGTTATTCTTCCTTATTATAATTCATCTTCGGCAAGTAAATCTACTGTTGGCAGCATACCAGGAATGGGTACGCGGAAGATAAATAACGTTCGACCAAGGATCCAGCTAAATGAAAGTGCTTCAGTTTGTGTGATCTAAAAGGACCTGCCCGACCAGAAATGGGAACACCATCTGGTTTATTAAACCAAGAATCATGTTTTGTTCTGGATAAACCAGTATTCTGAAAATCACGGAAACGTGACTATCTGTAATCTGCAAGCTCAATCGAGGCTCATGAGTAAACTTTGTCGTGGGAATATATGTCAGGACTTAGTAAATTCAGATGATTTGTGTATTATGGGGATCAACATTTTGGAAATCACAGAAATATTTTCCATCCATATTGGTATGGGTTAACTTTTTGTGAGCCACGTGAATCTTTTGAATTTCCCAAAAGATGGACCGTTAACTTTTT